GATAGATAGATAGATAGATAGATAGATAGATAGATAGATAGATAGATAGATAGATATTGCTAGAGAGAAAATTCCCTGAGGATGGGCTCCAACACGAATTCGAAAGCTGGGAAGAGAAAAGCTCCAATCCCGGTGATCGACTCCGATTGGATCCTGCCACATTATCCCAGGACAGGTAGATTCCGCCTTCATCTGCGACGCCCTCTATATATCCAAACTTCCCCCTTTCTCCTCCTGGCTCACCTGTGATCTCCTGCAAACGGTCTTCATCGATATTGGGGTCGAAGTCACTCCCCAGCACGTCCGTGCTCCAGGTCTCGCTCACGGTTTCCGAGATGTCCCGGTCTTCGGTCAAGCCCATCATGTCGCGGATCTCAAATTTGCGGAGCTTATCGTCCAGATTGTCCTGGGTAGTAGCTGTTGTAAAAAGCAAAATGCATTCTCTTGAAAACCAAGGACATTCTCACACCCGGTCGGAGAAAGGCGGAGGGATATCGGCAGGCAATCCGACAGCGCCGTGATTGGACTGTGTGACTGATTGGTTGGAGAAAGCGGCAAATTGTTTACTTTTAGTTAGGTGAAAAACCGTGCCAATGTGATATATCCAATAAAACTACTTGAGGAATCCACCTGCCTCAGAGTTTTGTTTGCTATTGAGTGTATTACTTGGAACCCTGACGGCACAAATATATGCCGAGGAGCACAGAATGCTGTTGCTTTCCGACCAAAGTGGTGCCTATTGATCTACTCGCATCGGCATCCTTTCGAACTGTTCAAGATGGGCAGGAGCTGAAGCAAGGAACGGCAGCTCACCCGCGCGGCACTCGGGACTCGAACCTGTCGAACCGTCAGCTGACAAGCTCAACGTCTTTAATCACTGAGCCATTGTGCCTCCCCCACCCCACCCCAACCGCCTCTTGGGAGATATTTCCGCTAGGTAACTTTCCAGGATGCTTCTCACCTTGTTCACGCTCCAGAAGCTGCAAGGCCTCCACTCCGTTACTTTCTGATGGGCCAGCCCCCGATTCTGAAACGGATTCCCCTTCTAAATCCAGCGAGGACACCGAATTGGAGCGATTAGAAGGGCCTGTTTTGGATTGGGAGGGGGGGAGAGAGAGGGGGGCAGTACAAAACACCAATTAAAAGTTGCACCCAGCCGCCCCCCCCAAAAGAGACACACAATAAACGCCAACAGAAGGAAGCCAAGGCTGCACAAGAACAACAACAACCAAAAACTGTAAAGGAAAAAAGGCGAGAGGCGCAAATAAAAAAATAACGGGGGCTTTGCGACAGCGGGCCAGAGACAGCAATGCACGAAATGCTCCGTTTGAAACGCGTTTTCTGATGGACAAGCAACAAAAGTGAGCCCTTCACCTTCGGATATGCCTTCCAGATTATCACTGCAGAGGGAAAACCTCAGGGTTTTATCAGGTTTACCGTGGAGTTTGGAATCGTCAACAGGAACTTCGCCTTGACTCCCATCAGCCAGCTGCATGTTTAAAACCTGGGCACAGAGAAGAGGAGTTCCGGCAGTTACCCTCCCCCAATGAAATCATGAGTCTCGAGCCAAACTTCCAAAACTTCCAAAGGATTTATTGGGAGTTAACATGTCTGGCACTGCCTGGGTGTAGCTGACTCTGAGACACATCATTCATTATAACTCTTGACCCTGGTTTTCCCTCCTGCCCCTGGATGTATAAGAATTCATATTCTCCAATGGGACACATCCATAGCCAAAAATCCTCAATCATGTTCTCCAGTTAGAATTTTGCATGGCAGAAACTTCCAGTCACCTAGTTACTATCTCTGAAAAACTATTTATGGAATGCGCTTTCGATTTCTAAGCTGCCACACGGCTCTTTCAAACCCCTTTCCCCCACCTCCCTTTCTGTTGGCAATTCTAAAAAGACCACAGAAATATTTTATGAGCTGACCGTACCATTGGGGGCTGAGTTGCTTGAATAGACGCATATTTCACATCGCTTACGTACCTCATTTTCTGACATCATTCCAGGCGTGATTTGTGGACCAGTCCCAAGAGAAATGACCAAAACTTCTTCCGGTTGGACTTCCTGTATGGTCTCTTGGGAGAATCCCTCATAATCTGGATGTTGGTCCATCTGAATATTGGAACGGCTCCTACTGCGCGTGGCTGGAACAACCATAAATACATACATATTATAAGTGTCCTATTTTGAGGGTGGGGGCGGAGGGTTCAAGGAACACCTTACAATTTAAGACAAGATGGCAGCTTGTGATGTGTGTGCAGTCGGACGTCGACCAATAACTGGGAAATTAATATGGGCTAGAGCTACACCGAAGTTACACCGCATTGCAACTGGGCTGCGGTCCTTGTGAAGTGCTGTGAGATTTCAACGTTGCACAAAGCTTTGAAATTCAACGACAACGGCCGAAAATCAGGGCTAAAATGTTACTACACTTCGGCAGAGAATTCCCTCCTATAAGCTTGACAAGATTTAATATATTGAAAGGTCCAAGGATCTCGCTTTCTCAATAACACCCTTTTAAAGAACAGGTTGTCTGAATTCACATGCAGCACTAAGTTAGTTACTGTCACTGTAGATTTCTTGGGTTGACTTCAACTGGCTGAGACATGTTGTCCTGCAAACCTTCGGTTTAGAAACTCGAGAAGACTTTGGCCAAAGGCAAAACCAACCAAGTCTCGTGATGTCTTAGAATCCTGATGATTTCTATTTAATTGTTTTAATAAGCCTCAGTGGAGAGGGAGTACTGTGGTGTGTACGCGGAGTCCGATTCAAGAGCTCTGCCCTAAAAACAGCCAGTTTGCTCTAGAGGTTCAGGCACCAGGCTAGAAAGCAAGAAACCACGAGTTCAAGTCCTGCCTTCGCCATGAAAGCCAACTGGGTGATCTTGGGCCAGTCTCAGACCAACTATTCCGGGGTTCTTGTTTTTTGGGGGGGAAATAGGCGGATGAAGGCGTGTGGGATAGGTGAGTGGTTTGTAAAAATGATAATGGCAGGACGCTAAATAAATACATAAAGCTGCCTGGCTAAAAGCGGTTCTTCACACGTGTTCAGCGAGGTAAGCCGGTGTGGAAAGATCACTTTTGCGGACACCCTAATCAACAGGAAGGAGAGAGAGAGAAAAAAAAAGGAGAGAGAGAGAGAGAGAGAGAAGAGAGAGAGAGAGATCCACTACCCACCAAAAGGGGTTACGAGATTTATATGAGCTGTGAGGTTGGTAGAAGAAGTATCCCAGGCAGCGATGGTAGCCAATTGTTGTCCTGGATTGGCCGCATTTGAAGAGAAACAAAAGAAAAATTGTTGAGATATATATATATATATATATCCCCAGATCAACTGTAAATTACAAATATACCAAGGAGCAACAGGTAGCCAGGCATTGTCAAAAAGAAAAGCATCCAAAAGTGAAGCCAGCAAGTCAGATTTTTAAACACAGCTGGTCCTCGACTTACGACAGTTCATTTAGTGACCAAAGTCATAACAGCACTAAAGAAAGGGAACTTAGGACCGTTTTTTCCCAGGCTTACGACTGTGGTCACGGGGTCAAAAGTCAGAGACTTGGCAACTGAATCGTATCTATGACGGTCGTGACTAACTTCACAGCGGCAGTGAAGAAAGGTCGTAAAATGGGGCGGAAATCCCCTCAGCGATGGTCTCGCTTAGCAACATAGAATTTAGGGCTCAACTGTGGGCCATAAGTCGAGGACCGGCTCTGTGTTTTGCCCACCCAACCGGCCAGTCTCGTGTTTTTTTTTTGTTTTTTTTACCGATGGCCAATCGATTTTTTTTGCTGGCTGGCGTCGTTGCAGGCGAGAGCTGCGGGGTGTTGTAAGGCGTCAACTCCTGGCTCCCACTTTTCCCCGGCTTGTTCTGGGGTAGATTTAAGAGCAGGTTTTCGAGAGCCATGCGGTCTTCCTTGAGCTGATCGCCGGACATGACGTTTCGCATAAAGCTAACCTGAAAATATAGATAGATAGTATTGGCCATCAACAGACACACAGAGATAAATGACATCTACACGCCGCTCAAAAGAGCCAACCCAAAAGCCTAAAAAGAAACAAAAGAGACCAAAGCAATCAAATGAACGTTAAAGATTAACGCCAGACCAACAATCAACTAAACAACACCCCAATCAAGGAAGTTACCGATGCATTAATGAGCAGCCCAATCAAGGAAGACGAATCAAGACCACTCCTACCAACACTGACAGGGCAAGACGCTAGTTTATAAACAGGGAGCCAACCCCACTCCCTTCTAGAACTGATGATGTTACTTAGTTGGTGTGTTGTGCATGGCACAAAGGCAACACAGTCACATAAGCAAGAAGAGTCCCTTTAATACCTCCAACTTTGCCCCCCGTGTCCAGGTTACCTTCGGCAGGAGAAAAAACTCTCCCAGGAACAGCCTTTAAGTGGAGGAAATTCAGTCCAAAAACAAAGTACATATAAACTGTAAATAAAAATCCACACAATCCACGCTGCGGCAATTAACTGGACATGGCAGGAGAAGGAATTGCAGACTTGAAAGGCCAGCAAAACACGGAGAGTTGGGAAGACGCCAGGAACCCAGATAAGCCACCACGACACCAGATAACTCATGATTTGCTCCCAACAACTTTGCTGTGTGCAGCTTCCCTTTTTAAACACTGTGTTCCCAGCTGCAGCTAATGAAGGGAATCAGGGCCCTTTCCTCCCCCATAAGCCAAACAACTCACATTGCTCCCTTTTCCGTTCCTCTCTGCGTACCCTAGAATAAAGAGGGATGGCCCTGAGTCTTCCTACGAATTCCCTCTCCCTTGTTCTACCTCTCCCCTGCTCTGCCCAGCCGGACTGTGCCCTTCCCCAGTTTCTTCCACAGCCAATGGAACCACACTCCTTGTGTCAGCTGCTCTGCCTCCCCCTCGGAATCAGATTCCAACAGGGGCATGACAGTTGGGTAGTAAAATGTGTGCCGGCTTAGACAGCATCAAGGACCCCTCTGTCCTCTTCCATTTCCTCCTCCTCTTTCTCCACTCTGCAAACCCCATTCCCTTCTAAACACTGATGGTATTAGCTAGTTTGGTCATGAAACGTCTGCAAGGAAACTATCAAGCTCGGAGAGCATCAAGGACCCCACAGTTCTCCTCCACCCCATCCACCCTGCAAACCCCACTCTCTCCTAGCACTGATGGTGTTACCTAGTTTGGTCATGAAACGTCTGCAAGGAAACCACCAACCAACCACCAAGGACCCCAGAAAAAGAAAACGAAAGGAACCAGCTAACGACGGCTGTCTCTTGGGTTCTAGGAAGACTTACCAGGGTAGTAAGTTGGCTGTAGGTCATATAAACCACCGTTCGACTCAGCCCTTCCAGGAGATTAACGGAAGACATCGGCGGGGTTTCTACCGCCCGACCGCCAATGACCACATCCAGGAACGAAGCCACACAGCCCTATAAAGCCACAGCGTCAGTGAAAGCAGACACTAAGGAGGTTAAAAGCATTCAACGTTAAAAATGTTAATTAGAAGTTGTGGTTTATGCCACGTAGGCAAACCATGATTTAGTGCAATACAGGTGGTGGTATTTTAGTGCAATGCGACCACAGTTGAGCCAAAACTTTTCGTTGCTAAGCGAGACATTTAACTGAGCTTTGTTCTGTTTTATGACTTTTTCTTGCCCCAACTGTTAAGTGACTAAATAAACTATTAAGTCGAGAACCACCTGTCCCTTGCTTCTTCAAGCTGGGATGTTCTTTCTTAAAAATTTCCTTCCACGGCCCCACATTCTCAAATTTGCTTTGAAATGCAAGCCAGCCCTGCGTTCAGAGACTCTAAATGTGGTTCCTGCCACTTGTGGCTTAAGGAACTACTGGCCACTTCAAACGCAACGGCTAAATGGCTTCTCGGGAGGGTAAAACTCCAAGACAGGAGGGGGGAAGCTTCAAAGGTCGCCTTGATTTTTGTTACCTTGTCAAACTTCCCCAGGTTGGCCTTGGTGCGGGGATCTCCGTCTTCGGAACCAATCATAGCTAGTTGCTGCAGAAGCCTCCCAACCTACAACAGAAACTCCATTGAAAACATTTTTTTTTTCAACTGGCTCGTCCGTCATACCTGAAAGGGAGGCTTCGGGTTTCATGAACAGTTGTATCTTAAATAGGGAGGGAAGGAAGGGAGGGAGGGAGGGAGGGAGGGAGGGAGGGAG